TTGGTCCCAGACTGCGAGAGGACACAGGCTGGGCTGACCCAGTCCTCCGAGTGCACAAATTTTTGTGCACCGGGCCTCTAGTTAAATATAAGCTCCCTGGAGGCAGCAACTTAGTCTAGTATGTTTACTGTTGCAGCATTCCCCATGCCTATAACAGAATCTGGCCCATAGGGGCAGTCAGTAAGTGTTTATGTATTAAAAAGTGACTGATGTATAAAAGGGACTTAATAAATACTGATGGAAGAAAAGCCCAAGTGTCCAGCAATGGATAACTGAACAAACAAAATGTGGTATATATATACATTGGAATATCTATTCCCTCTTAAAAAAGAAGGAAATTGTGATACAAGCTACACTATGGATAAACATTTTGGACATTACCCTGAGAGAAATAAACCAGACACAAACAAATAAATACTGTATGACTGCACTTATATGAGGTACCTAAGTTGTCAAATTCATAGAGATAGGAAGTAGAATGGTGGTTGCTAGGGGCTGGGGAAGGGAAGAATGAGGAGTTGTTTCATGGGTAAAAATTTCAGTTTTGCAAAATGAAAAGAGTTCTAGAAGTAGATGTACAATTTAATGTCATTAAACTGTACACTTAAAATGATTAAGACAGACACTAGCCAGTTTGGCTCAGTGGATAGAGTATAGGCCTGCAGACTGAAGGGTCAAAGGTTAGATTTCAGTCAAGGGCATGTGCCTCAGTTGCAGGCTTGATCCCTAGCCCCAGTTGGGGCACATGTGGGAGGCAACCAATTGATGTTTGTCTCATGTTCATATTTCTCTGTGTGTGTGTCTCTCCCTTTCCCTTCCACTCTCACTTAAAAAAAAAAAATGGGCAAAATATCCTCAATTAAGGATTAACCAAAAAAAAAAAAAAAGGTGAGAACCTACTCTTTGGTCATGGTCTACTGAAGAAAACAAAGGTGAACATTCAGAATCATTATCTGCTTGAAACTTCTCTGTTACCAGGGCTTTCCTAGAAGAGAAAATATACCATGAAGGTTGCAACTCAAAAATGGTTAAGATGGTAAAATTTGTTAAGTATCTATGTATATATAGTTAAGTATCCCATATAATAAAAGAGAAACCTGCAAATTAACCATCCCTCTGCTATACTCACCAGCCAATCAGAGTGGGTATGCAAAAAAAAGGAAAGGCTGGGAGCTTGGGTCACCGGGGAGCATGGCCAGCCTGAAAACGGTCCTCAGCCCCTCACCCAGGCTGGCCAGGCACCCCAGTGGGACCCCCACCCTAAAGGGAGTGTGGCCAGCCTGAAAACAGCCATCAGCCCCTCACCCAGGCTGGCAACACCCCCATGGGCTGAGGGTCCCAACTGGGAGGTTTGACCAGCTTGCAAAAAGCCATCAGCCCCTCACCCAGGCTGGCAAGGCACCCCAACAGGGACCTCACCCTGAAGGGGGTGTGGTCAGCCTGAAAACACCCATCAGCCCCTCATCCAGGCTGGCCAGGCACCCAAGCGGGATACCCACCCTGATCCGGGACTCCCTTCAGGGCAAACCAGCCGACCCCCACCTGTGCACCAGGCCTCTATCCTGTATAGTAAAAGGGTAATATGAAAACTGACCCTAACAGCAGAAAGACTGGGAATGACTGGTCACTATGATACACACTGATA